CCAAGGAGAAGCTTCTAAGATACATGAAGGTGGATATGCTTTGGTTTAGCAGGAATGATCCCTTATAGAGTTAAATTGACTTATTTGGACAAATGCCCTCTAAGAATGGTTTTGTTTTAACAGATTGGTTTGAGGACTTGAGAACCATGGGCACATAAATTCAAATTGGACTCAGTTTGAATTGGGCAAGTGTATCCAGGCTGCAATTAGCTTTTTGGTCCTTAAAGTGCAAGTGAGCAACTTCCCAGGATGCAAGACCAGAGCCTGTAATAATAATAAGAAATCCCATGGATTTTGGCCAAGGCAAAGGCATTTCTCTCAGGACGTGCCCGAAACCTGTGCCAGCTGTGGTGGGTGCCAGGCAACATGAAAGCCCTAAGTGGATTCAGCAGGGATTGCCACTACTGCGACACCATGCCGATGTGAGACCACAGAAGAGCTACCTTGACACCTGAGAACACACAAATGGGTGGGGGGGAAGCAAACTGCACTTTTCAGTCATTAGTGGACCTTCCTGCCTAAATGTAAAGCATAGATCACTATTGAGAAAATATTTCTTCCAAGGTGCTAGAATACCACAAGTAACTGAGCAACAAAATATTAATTTACGTGATATCCTATGTCTAACTATGTGCACTGTTACACCATTATATTTCCATGCAAATATCCTTAAAGTAGCATGATATCCAAGTCCCTTTCAGGTTCACATGGACACACACATCTGGGACGGAGAATACCAGGTTATTATTTACCACCTTAAATTGTGCGGAGAAAAGGATTGCAAAGTAGCCACCTTTGCAATCTTATCTCCGAAGGGGGGAACTGTAGCAGGAAACCCCCCACCCCAATCATTCTGCTTGTACAAACTTCACACACACACACACTCACACACTACATACGCCACATCTCTGTTATAAATTCATAGAAAATCAACCATACATTGGATTTGCACTGTTCCATTTTTATTTTACTCCATATGACAAGAACTAACAGAAGGGGAGGGGGGTTTGACCCTGGTCAGCCAGAATCCCTTCACTGTCCCAGCACATCCACAGGGGCCCTGCCCAGTTGCTATGTCAGCCTTGATAATCCCAGACAGAAGACAATCAAAATGACAAAGAACTTGCATATGGTAGTGGATTCACCACAGACTGAAACAAAGGACAATGATCAGCTCTTCCCTCTGGGGGCAGGAAACTGCAAACTCCCCTTTGTCACCTGGAAAGTACTCATGGGGAGGGGGAAAGGAGGAACCAGCTAGGTGACTGGACACTCAGGTTACCACCACAACTCCTCCCTCAACCCCTCCTTTCTGTAATATATGCATGATGTCAACCCCTTCTGTAATGTATGCATGATGTTTCTGGGGGTGGGCTTGACCTAGAGGAGGGGAATTTCAAAAGTTTTTATAAGGTCTTGCAGCCCATTGTTCTGGGTCTTTCCTCTCTCCTGCGAGTGAGGGGAATACCCTGTTGCAACAGTTCAATAAAGGCCAAGCCTACAGGCTGCTGTTCTGCTCCAAGTTATCCTGGTTGGTGTCTTTGTTTTTGTCCAAGAGAGCCCTCGGATTTTTCCGGTAACAAGTCCTTACGTAGGTTCCCTATTGGTAGGAGAAGATAACAGAGGCCCAACCAGAGAATATTGAGAAGCAAAGCAGCTGGTAAGCCTGATCTTTATTGATCTGTTGCAACAGGGTCCTCACTCACCACACGCAGGAGGGAGGAGGAACCCAGAAAAATGGCGCATAAGGCCTTATAAAGACTTTTGAAATTGCCACCCTGTAGATCAAGACCCCCCTTCATGGATCACTGCCTTGCCGTGGCGAAGGGGCTTGAAGAACTCAGAGAAGCTATGAACTACGCCGAGTAGGGCACACAAGATGAACAGGTCATAGTGGAGAGTTTTGACCAAACGTGATCCACCTGGAGGAGGAACCGGCAAGCCACTCCAGTATCCTTGCCAAGAAAACTCCATGGACAAAGACAACAGGCATATAAAAGTTATGACGCTGGAAGATGAGCCCCTCAGGTCGGAAGGTGTCCAACAGAGGTGCCTGGCGTGCTCTGGTCCATGGGGTCATGAAGAGTCGGACACGACTAAACGACTAAACAACAAGATCAAGACCAGCCCCAGAAACATCATACATACATCACAGAAAAGGCGATCTTAAAACAGAAATTTGAATGTTGTTTTTCTCCTGTCCTTGTTTATCTCCTGTCTGGCAGGTTACTTGATTGGATTGCCTGGGGAGCCTGGCCAGTCTTTCGTAGTGATAAATACTTAGTTCCTGAGCCAGGTCACAGGCTCACACCCTATTCATATCTTAAATGTGCCCTTAAGACAGGATTTGTGAGGAAAGAAACAATAGGGAGGTTTCCCACTTTGACCTTGCAGAGAAAACATTTGCTCAGTTTAGGAATCAAAATGGTTCCAGGTCGGTCTTCCTGCGCTGATCTATGTACGTGCTTGGTTGGTACACTTATGAACATTACCATATATCTAAGACCATAAAATTCCTATCACAGGGGTGAGGTGCGGCTCAGAGACCAGGGGTAGTGGTGGTGGCTGCCTGCAGGACTCCCAAGAAGAGGCGGCTGAGGGAACACCCCACAAAAGGGGGGCGTTTGAAAAGGGGTGAGGGGCTGCCGGCTCTTCAGGCAAGGGGTGACCTAACTGGGCTTTTGAAGCTTGGAAGGTGTTTCCCCAGAGGGGAGTTGATCAAGGGAGCCATGGACTGGAAGAGGTTGAAAGCCTCTGACATAAGGTAGCAGCTAGCTCCACCACCTGGACTGTTTTGTAAGTAGGCAGGTGAGACGCTGCCTGAAAGCAACACGAGTGGATCAGACTGCCTAGTGGATCAGACTGCTCCCCAGCGACCGTGGGATCATTGCACCCTTCGTGTCCACAGCTACAAGCCAATCGCTTTAGAGAACTACTGCAAAAGAACTGGCTTCTCCTGACAAGGTTTGGCAAGGATCCTTATCATGAGTTTCCAGAAACGTGGAAGCACATTGCTCCTGTGGAGGTTTGTGGAGCAGACACTACAAAGCAGGTCCTTCCGTTTCCTTTTTTCGGCTGTCCAGTGTCTCCCACAAGCGCTATGCACCGACTCCCTCGGCCCCCTTCCGCCAACCTTCTCCAGGCCCCCTCCACTGATCTTTGCACTGTCAACATACTTTTGCTCTCTCTCCAGGGAAGGACTGCGTTTTCAGATTTCAAAAAAGCCGATCAGGGTCAGGAACGAAGTTTTTTCCCCATTTTCTTCAAAATAAGTGAAATTAAGTGCACAAAAAAGTGACCGTTTATTTGGATCCTACCGCCTTCTTTGTTTGGGATGCAAAAGGGCCCAGCTTTCATTAAGTGAGAGAAGCCAAATATGGTTATTTATTGATCTTCGTATACACCAACCATTCCAAACCTGGGGCCCCCAGATGTTTTGGAACTACAATTCCCAGCAGCAGCACATACACCCCTGACACCCGTCTCACACCTCCACATTCAAAAGCTGCATCCCTCTGAATACCTGGAACACCTGGGGGGTGGCCTGATCCAGCTGCAGGGCTCTTCCTATGTTCTTGTTTTCCAGAGGTCCCACTGGGATGACAGTGGCCATTGGCACTGAGAACTTGAGTTTGCTATTATTGTACATGTCACACTGCACAGAGCTGCTTGCTAACGACTGTATGAAGGGCCTTTCCTGCCCCTAGTAAATCTCATTGTAGGCACTGAGGTGGGGGGGGGAGGTGCTCCACACAGCACCTTGCAAAACTATGGTGTAAATTAAACCCACCCTCAACCTTGTTGCAGGCCCATTTAATGGAGGGAGGCACAGCTCCCCTGGAACAGCCTGCTATCCTGCATGCTGCAGTTGGTGTCGCCACCTAGTGGCAGCCATGCAAATTGCAGAGCGTGATGACACCCTACATTCTTATGTATATAGCAGGCATGTCCAATAGGTAGATTGTGATGTACCGGTAGACGTCTGTGGTAGATTACTGGCTACCCCAGTTTGGCTCCCCTAAATAAAGCTCAACGCTAATGCCATGCACCCCCCAAAAAAATGTGGTTTAAGGTAAAGGGTCACCTGACCATTAGGTCCAGTCGTGGCCAACTCTGGGGTTGCGGTGCTCATCTCGCTTTACTGGCTGAGGGAGCCGGCGTACAGCTTCCGGGTCATGTGGCCAGCAGGACTAAGCCGCTTCTGGCGAACCAGAGCAGCGCATGGAAACGCCGTTTACCTTCCTGCCAGAGCGGTACCTATTTATCTACTTGCACTTTGATGTGCTTTCGAATTGCTAGGTTGGCAGGAGCAGGGACCGAGCAATGGGAGTTCACCCCATTGCGGGGATTTGAACCGCCGACCTTCTGATCGGCAAGTCCTAGGCTCTGTGGTTTAACCCACAGCGCCACTCACGTCCCTTTATTGCACCATAGCCAGCCTTTATTGGGGATGGGATGCATGGCAAACAGCCCATGAGAACCTGAACCTCCAAAAAGGGGAAGGGGTCAGTCCTTAACTCTGTGCCAGTCCTTAACTCTGTGAGTAGATTGCAGTCTCTTGGGAGTTGGCCAAGGAAACAGAAGTGATTCTGAAGTTAACACAACTATTCCTCCTCTTCCCCGCCCGAAGCAAATCACACAGCCACACAAGCACATGGGTTTTTCATTGGTTTTTAATTATTCGTTGCCGAAGGCGATAATATTTCTATGCAAAATACTCTTATATCTCCCCACCCACCCACCCGCCCCAAACAAACTTCACGTGGCCCCCAGCAAGAAACAACCTCCAATTACATCCTGTTTTGTTTTTTTAAATAATGCCCCAGGGGAGGGGGAAGAACCCTTTGCGTCTGACCAACCCCTTCCATGCCAACACACTGGTGTTTTTGGGGGGGGAGGGGGTTGGCACCAGGAACCCCATTCCCTTGGGAGGAAAGCCCTTAACAAATCAGTGTGACGGGAGGCACCCATTGTGTTCAGCGAGCGTTACTGGGAGGGGAGGGGGGCAAGGAGAAGAGACGCAAAGTGTCCGATCCCTTCTGGGCCCTCTTGGAAAACCCAGGGAGTTCAGGAGCCTGGGCTGCCCTGCTTGAAACGGCACACTTTTTAGAAGGGCCTGAAGAGGGGGCGCAGAGGGCCAGATCAAACTGTTTAAACCAGGATCAGAGGCCACATCTGCCAGCCGCCATCTTGCCATGGATGGGCAGTTTCCCCAGAGTAAACGCCCCCCCCCCAGCTTTACCCCACTGGCCTGTGGGTGAATTGGCATATTTAGTCGTGTGAGCTGGGGCGACTTTGGGGGAGGGGGGGCAAACACAGCCCTGGGATGCCCCACCCCCTCCAAGCGCGCTGGTAACCTTGTGCTCTGTCCCTCCATTCCAGCTACATCTTTCCCTTTGTTTTCTGTAGATTATCCTTGTTTTTTGCCTCAATTCAGCGGTTGTTAAAAAAAAGACATTTGCGCTCCTTGGGCGGGGTGGTGTGGTAGCCAGCCTTTGGAGATTTGGACCAGGTCCAACATATGCTTTTCAGGCATAATTAAAATGTCAGATTCAACCCCTGTCATTTTAAAAATTATTCCTATGAACGGTCAGGGTGAGGCTTGCTTTTGGAGGATGAGGCAGGGGAGAACCCGGTTCGAGCGAAAGCTTAGTTCAAGTGTTTGGAGCAGAATCTGTGTTGCTTAACTTCCCGGCAGCTACAGAAATAAACTTCTCCACTGACACACCAGCAGCTCTTCCTTCCTAGAGTACAAGTTTGACCCGGCACCTTCCTCCTACCCCCGAAAGGCAAACCTTTGGAGAGTTTTGTGTCTTGCCAGGGGCCAGCAGTGGCTGGAGCAGCGGGGTTGGGGGCTAAATATCTCCAGCTCCCCCAACCCCCAAGTCCAATCTCTGTTTTTTTCTTTATATACAAAAAATAATAATTAATCCATTAGATTTGGAAATTAAAATCTTCAAAGTGAACTTAAAACAGCCCTCCGAAATATATCTCCCACCCACTAAAACTGTTCTCCTCTGTGTATTTTTTTTTCATACATCACGCACAGCCGCACCAAAATACTTGATATGACCCCAAAAAATAGTCACAGGACATCAAAAAAACTCTATTTCCCTTTCCCCCCCAACCTTTCTCTTCTTTTTTTCTCTCTCCTCTCCCTCCCCCAGAAAGAAAAATATAGATTGCTGGATTAGCAAAAATGGTTCCATGATTATTGTTATTATTATTTTTTGTTATCCTTTTTCTGCTAAATTTTGAAGCCACAAAAGTAAACTTCATGCACTGAAGAGGAAAAAAACAGAACGAAATGAAAGAGAAAATCAAAAAGAGAGGAAAAAGTCAACTGAAAATAATATCTATCTATCTATATAGAGATATATAGATATAGATATATTATATCCCAAAGTCATCGTCGTCATCAGGCCATTCTTGCAAGCGAGGATTATCTTGGATTCATCAGTCCTGGGTCTGTGCTTGTTTCAATCGTAGAATATTATTCAGCTAAAACAAAAGAGGGAAGGAACGGAAAAAGGTATCCTTGTTTCCTTCCAAGGGGAAAATAGTCAGGTTTTTTATTTTTTAAAACAGCAGAAAACTAGCTTGGTGAATTTGTTTTTGATTCTTTTAACGAGTGTGCAGTGTTGCTCCTCCTTCCAAAATTTAAAAAACCCTCCGGAATCCCCATCCCTCTTCTCTGCCCTAATGATCAAACCACAATCAGGGAACTTTAAAACTCCTCAGCAACAATGCCTTCTTTTCTTCTGAATCACTGGGAAAAAAGGGGCGGGAGTCCTGGAAAGTAAACTCATCAAAAGTGGCTTCCATTTGCAGAAAGTTTTTCTTAAAAAATATCTCTCTCTTCTCTCCCACAATAAGTTTGTTTCAGTCTTTCTCTCTCCGAGTTCAGAGTCTGCGTGTGCCTCCCCTCCACCTTGCTGCTTGTAAAACGAAACAGACCAGAATCTAAGAACCCCCCCATTCTTCCCCTGTGCCACCACCTGCCCCCCCAAATGACAGCATGCATGCGCTAGCGCTGTTGGGGATGGAAGAAAGCCCCACATTTGCTGCAGAAATTAAAACGGGAGCGGTTTTGAATCAGGATTAGGGGTGGGGGAGCCGGATCACGCAAGAAGAAGAAAAGAAAAAAGAAAGGAAAAAGGAAAACAAAAATTGAGAAGATTAAAGAGTCAACGGAAGAAACGAAAGAAGCCTGTCCCAAGACATCCCCACCCATCCCCAAAATATTAACCAAACAGCTAAGTTCAGTGGCAAGAGACAAGAGTCGGTCCCCCTCTCCAGAGAGGACAGCTCTGTCGCAGATTCGGTGGTGGTTGGTTTTGCCATCCCTTCCGGGAAATATCAGTTCACGTTAAGCTCCTAAAGTCTCTCGCGAGCCGGGATCCAAATGTACGGGCCGGAGAGCTCCTCAATGATTCTTTTGATCTTGTGGTAGATCTCTTCGAAGCTGTCTCCTTCTACAATGGCTGCGGGGAAAGAAGAAGATGGCAAGGGGTGAGTGTGTCAAAGAGAGAGAGTCTGGGGTTGCTTTTAGAACCTGAGAGATCAGTTAGTAAGAACATTGAGAAGAGGCTGGCTGCTGAACCAGGCCAGGGGCTCATTCCGGGATCTTGAGGATATTTCCGGGATCTAAGAGCCCTGCTGGATCAGGCCAATGGCACATCGAGTCCAGCATTGTGTCCTTACAGTGGCCAAGCAGATGCTTCAGTGGGAAGACAGGAGACACGACCTGAGCAAAACACCACTCTCTCCTCTCCTGTGGCTCTCAGCAGCTGATATTCAGCTCCTGGCAAGAGGGGAGTCCCAGAATGCCTGTTGTAGCAGATACATCCAGGGCTGTGCAGAGCTGGTTATAGGCCCACCATATGGGAAATGTAGGCCAAAGGGTTCCCCCTTTGCCTCTACCAGGGGACTCGGATTAGGCCTCATGCCAATTGGCTCCACCCCCTCTGCTCTGGCCTGGATACATCAAGAGTCTTGTTGCACCTTAAAGACTAACAAAACTGTTGTGGCATAAGCTTTCGTGGGCTATAGCCGACTTTGTCAGATGTAGGCTCCTGCCCATCCACTGAGCCCCACACGGTGGCCTTGGTTAAGGGACGAACCTGGATTATGCAAGTCAAGCCCACCTGCATGAACTGTATGCCCCAAAATCCTGCGGCAGGAAGGAACTGGATAGCTGCTGAAGCTCCTTCCAATAGGAGGAAATCATAGGTACATTGGAGGATGAGGCCGCTAAAAGGTAAAGGTTAAGGACCCCTGACAGTTAAGTCCAGTCGTGAACGACTCTGGGGTTGTGGCGCTCATCTCGCTTTACTGGCCGAGGGAGCCAGTGTTTGTCCGCAGACAGTTTTTCCGGGTCATGTGGCCAGCATGACTAAGCCGCTTCTGGCGAACCAGAGCAGTGCACGGAAAAGCTGTTTACCTTCCCGCCAGAGCGGTACCTATTGATCTACTTGCACTGGTGTGCTTTCGAACAGCTAGGTTGGCAGGAGCTGGGACCGAGCAACGGGAGCCCACCCCGTGGCAGGATTCGAACTGCCAACCTTCTGATCGGCAAGCTCTAGGCTCAGTGGTTTAGACCACAGCAGCCTCTACTGGTTACTAATCACAATGGCTATGCACGCTGGCAACCACAGGTAAGGAGGGTGCTGTTGTGCTGCTTGTGGTTTTCCCATGGTTGGCCACTTTTGAGAACTGAGTGCTGGACTAAATGGTTCCCCTTTGACCTGTTCCAGCTGCAGGGTTCTTCCCATGTTCTGATGTGCACAGTGACTGGCAGCAGTGGCACTCCAGACTTCCAGGTAGTGGACATTCCCAACTCTTACCTGAAGATACTGTCAGGGATTAAATCTGGGACTTTCTGTACACAAGGCAGATGCTTTCACCAATGAGCTACTTCCGTTCTCTGAAAACTCCAAAAGCAGCCTGAGGCTGCCCCTCCCCCCCCCTCCGCCAACTTAAGCCTTCTGTGAATTGTGCCCAGGGCTGATGGTTCGGAAAGCAAGAGGGGGCAGGAGGTGACCTACCCGAGAAGCACTCTGTAAATTCCTGCTCCAGTTTTGTAGCTCTGTCGAAGGCTTTCCGCGCCTGCTCCTCCGTTATCCGCTTGTTAATTTCTCTGGAGAAGAAGGAAGGGGGGAAAAGGAGGACACAAAGTGATTACGAAGACTGTGCAGCCCCAAAGCTGTCTCTTCCACCTGCCTGTATTCTGCTGGGTTTCCCCCCTTTGCTTTGGGTGTGCAGTGTGTGTGTGTGTGTGTGTGTGTGTGTGTGTGTGTGTACACACACATGCTTCTGCTATTTGGGGAACCAGCTTGGGACAGCCTGGTTCCCACCCTGTGGCCAACCAGATGCTTCTGTAAATCTCACTAAATAGGACATGAAGGGAAAAACCCTCTCTAGTGGCTGCTCCCAGCAACTGGTGTTCATAGGATATATCTGGAGGTTCTCTTTAGACATCACAACGGCTATCCCTTGCCTGCTTCCATTAATGCATCCAATCCGGCCTTTCCCAAGGTGGTGCCCTCCAGCAGTTTGGGACTACAACTCCCATCAGCCCCAGCCAGCTGCTGCCAAGACTGACCGGCAGCACTGGCTCTCCAGGGTCGGGGATTCGACCTTCCGCATCCAAAGCAAATGCTCCATCACTGAGCCTTTCCTTTTGAATGAGCATTCATTCTGATTTGTTTGCAGGGAGGTTGTTTCAAAGCACCCACCACATCCCCTATAGAAAAACGCCTATATATATTTTTGGAGGGAGGGAGGGGGAGGGAGGGGAGGGGTAGAGGAGAGCAGGTTTGTTGCACAAGACCTTGCCAATAATTGTGCAACCTGAATTTGCTGGTCTGTGATTGAATCCCACCCAAAAATAGTGACAGCATGGGAGTACCCTTTGTTGCCTTCTCTTTTTAAAACAAAGACTTAAAAGCCCCTGAACAATTTTGTCTTTCTTCAACGGCGCGGAGGAGATTGTCTTGCTAGGTGCTGCTTAGAAATGCTAAGGATTAATCTTGTTTATTTATAGCATTTATATCCCACTTTTCCTCTAAGGAGCTCAATGTGGTGTACATGGTTTCCCCTCTCCTACTCATTTAATCTCCACAACAACCCTGTGAGGCAGGGAAATACCAAGAAGCAGTGGCTGACCCAGGGTCACCCAGCGAGCTTCATGGTTAAGCAGCATATACTGTATTTTCTGGCGTATAAGACTACTTTTTAACCCAGGAAAATCTTCTCAAAAGTCGGGGGTCGTCTTATACGCTGGCTACAGCAGCAGCTCCTGCAGCACCTCCCTACCAAAGGATAAAACGACAGCAAATTAAATCAGAGGACACCAAGCTCTCTAGATGAAGCAGAAATACGCTTGGAAATTGGCCCCAGAAGCCCCTGGCCATTGGGAAGTGGAGCAGATTTCTATTTGGTGTGCGTTGGAAGAGGGGTAGTCTTATACGGCAAGTATATCCCAAACTCTATATTTTAACTGGAAAAGTTGGGGGGTCGTCTTATACGTCCAGTCGTCTTATACGCCGGAAAATACAGTAAATGCCTTAAGTAAATAAATGGTGAATGATAAATGAAAGCTTTGGCTGATCTCAGGCCACATCCCAACCCCTTCCACACTCCAACCTTTGTGCAATATCTTACACCCTTCTGGCCCTTGGAGACCAAAAAACCAAGGCAAAGATGGCAACAGAGGGCTCATCCACCACTTCTGCTTGTCACACTTTTCCCTGGGAAAACCTGCTTCTTACCATTGAGTTGGAACAAAAGTCTATCGGGTTTTCCACAGATTAATGTTGCCTCTGATTCAAGGGTCAAGAGTGAGGTTTCCTTGGTGAAAGCAGCAGGGCAAATGGAAAACTGCTCAGAGGACCCGTACTCAGGAAGCATGGGGCAAGTGGAAAACCTCTCAGCCCCCTCGTGCTTCCTAGGTGTGGGACAAGTGACGTGTGGACACCCTCCTGCCCCCGCCCCCCATTCCACAGCCCCTGTCCACCCCGGGGGGCCACTCACAGAACATTCTCGAGGGAGCGTGGCCGGATAAAAACGGCGATGGGGTGAAGTTGAGCTGCCTGCAGCCTCCGCACGGCATTGGCCGAAACGTCCAAAATGCAGTGCTTGCCCTGCGCGGGGAGAGAGAAATGTGGTCAAGAGGTTTCAACACCAATTTGTATTCCACTTCTGCCCCCACTGGTCACGCAAAGCCACAGCTAACCCATGGCCTCCCCAGTCGCTTCCGCCTGCCAAAAATGTCCACTCCACTGGCAGGACAATCGCCTATTCTGTCCCCTCCCCTGCCCATACACAATTGAGGGGATATACACAGCATATTGTGGGTGTCAACCTTCAGGGATCCTCTGCTACCCCCTCCTATAACAACCAGCCCCCAGAGACCCAGTCAAACAGGGGAAGGGGATAATTTGAGTCTGGTGCGTTAGCACTGAGCAAGACCCTGGCTGCGTGCTGCTGGAGAGCGTCTAAATATCAATGGACTCTTGAGTTTTGGTAACCTCTCCCTGCTTGCTTTGTCCAAACCTTTCTGTTAGGGGGAAGTTGCCTACTCAGTCAGTGGTCTATCCAGTTCAATATTGTCTATGCTGAGTTGCTTTCCCCAGTATCAGGTAGGAGTCTCTCACAGTCCCTGCTGGGGACTGAACTTTGGACATTCTGCATGCAATGCAGGTGCTCTACCACGAAATGATTTCTCAAAAACTCTGGCATTTGTTTGATTATTCGACTCTGCATTTCAGCCTACCTGCTCAGCCACCTCGCGCACTGACTGGACGCTCGTCCCGTACAGGTGGCTGTTGTACTGGCCGGCCTCAATGAACTTGTGGCTCTGAATGTCCTTCTCCATCTTCTCCCGTGAGGCAACAAAATGGTAGTCCCGCCCATCCACTTCGTACTCCCGTTTCGGCCGAGTGGTGTCTGCAGAAGCGGGAGTGGGGAGTCTCCGTCATGCCCAGGGGAGCAAGAGTAGCCCAAACCAAGGCTTCCTCCTGAAGCAGCAATCCTTCCCGCCCACCACCCATAATTTCATCTTGGGGCAGGGATAGGGAACCCGTCAGACTCACGTGGGACACAGGAGCCAAATTTGTCAGGGAACTCCGAGAGGAGGTCATCGTTGACTCGGTCCTTAGTGGGGCCCAGGATAATGATGGGTCGAGCGTAGTGAACTAAGGGTGGAAAAACCCAAAGAAATGGGAAATGGTCTGTGCTGGTGAAGAACACAACTCAAAAAAGGGAAATTGAAACCATCAGTTGGTTACAACCAACCACAAAGCAATGGGTGAGCTTCTGAGCCTTCCTCATTGTACAAACAACAACATCAATAATGATATAATTCAGGGTTGAGGAAGGGAAGGGTTAGGGTTCTCACCTTCCATTTGTACAACGGTTTCATAGCTCAAGACAGCATCTTCTCGACCTGGAAGGGAAAGAAGGAGGCTGTTAAGTACAACCTGTTCAACCCAAGCCCCAGAACAACTGCTCCTTAACAGGGAAAACAGCAAACTACAAAGGGCCTTCCCCAAACTGGTGCCCTCCAAATGTTCAGGGTTCAATTCTCAGCAGACCCCAGCCAGCACAGCCAAATGACGCTGGGGGCTGATAGGAATTGTAGGCCAAAACCCATCTGGAGGGTGTCAGGTTTGGGAAGGCTGCTCTAGAGCAACAGGGAAATAGGGGCAAGTTTAGAGCCAGTGTGGTGCAGAGTGTCAGTTTAAGACCTAGGAGAACCATGCTTGAAATCCCCCCTCGGCCATGAAGCTGACTGGGTGGCTTTGGGCCACTCACTGTCTCTCAGTCAAATCTACCTCACAGGGTTGTTGTGAGGATCATATGGGAAAGGGGGAAGAACTGCACATGCCACTTCAAGTTCCTTGGAGGAAAGGTAGGATATATAAAAGCAGAAATAAATAAAATGGTGTGGAGAGAGAAGGGAGAAAGGAAAGGGGGGAAAGCCCCCCACTCTTGTGGATTTCAAAGCATGGAAGTATTTCTCAAAGGACAGGTTTGGGGCGAGGGAAAGAGTGAAAGGCCTGGAGCATCTTTCCTCAACCTGGTGCCCTACAGCTGTTTTGGACTACAATTCCCATCAGTCCCCAGTCAGTATGGGCAGATGATGGTGCTAGGGGCCAATGGAAGTAGTAGGGCAAGACATCCAAAGGACCCAAGTCGGGGATGGGCAGCCAAGAGACAGAGACCCACCTTGAGAGCCCGATCCCGGCACCCGATCCTGGAAGGAGAAGAAAGAAAGAAAGAAAGAAAGAAAGAAAGAAAGAAAGAAAGAAAGAAAGAAAGAAAGAAAGAAAGAAAGAAGAGACAGAGGGAAGAACCAATTAGTCAGCCTCATGGAAGCCTTGGAATTTCTGTCAGTATGGGGGCCACCAGCAGAAGCACCCCCACCCCTGTGTTTAAATGCAAGAGTTACCAAACAGGGAGATGGGGTGGGGCTCTTATCTCAGCCCCCGGAGGAAATTTTAGGGTCAGAACAAACACTACAAAAGTAGCTCACGTTGACTCTGGGGACCATCCCCAGGATGAACAGGAGTGGAAAAGCAAGGCCCTTAGACGAAATAAATGGCATTTGTAAGCTGCCCTGGGAGCCTTCTGTGGGGCTGAGAAGCAGGAGGATAATGAAACAACTATTTCATTTCCATAATTCATGCAAGTGCTGAATCTCTATTTTTGTTATGTAACACACAAACACAGGAACCCCACAACGGAGCTCAAGGTTATCTGAAGAAACTGGCAGCAGATTCAGGACAAAGAAAAAGAAACATGTCCCTCACACTATGCCTTAACTTGCTTATGGGATCCGCTCCTAAAAGAGGCATCCACGGCCCCCAAATTGGACAGCTTGAAAACCAGATTAAACCAGTTGATGGAGGAAATGTACTTCCTGCAGGATCACTGAGTTGGAAGGGTCCTCGAGGGTCATCTAACCCAACCTATCTACTCGAGCCTCTCATTTAAAACTTCTTCACAAAGGAGAGTCTGCCACCTTGTGAGGCAGTCTGTTTCACTGTCATACCGGTCATATAGCCAAGAAGTTCCCCCCAATGTTTAGCCAAAATCCCTTTCCTAAGAGGCTGATTCAGGTCCTACAATCTGGAGCCACAGAAAAAGATGCATGGAAAAAAAGATTTCTACTGAATCTGACCACTGGTCCATCTAGTTCAGTATTGTCCACACTGACTGGCAGAGGCCCTCCAGCATTTCAGGCCAAGGGCATTCTCAGGCCCTACCTGGAGATGCTGACCGGGACTGAACCTGGCACATTTGGAAGGCGAAGCAGATTCTCTACTCCTGAGCTGTGATCCTTCCAAGATGTGCCCCTCAAATCTGTGGTCATCATGACGCCCCTTAATCCACTCTTCTCCAGGCAAAACACACACCACTCTTCTGAATGCCAGTCATTTGGGTACGACAGTGGGAGGGGAAGGGAATCTGGTTAGCCCAGTCTTCTCTAACCTGGTACCTTCCAGCTGCTTTGGATTACAACTCCCATCCTGAACAGCCAGCGCAGCTGTAGGATGGTGGAGCTAAAATGGGTGCTGTACAGTGGTACCTCAGGTTACATACGCTTCAGGTGACATACGCTTCAGGTTACAGACTCCGCTAACCCAGAAATAGTGCTCCAGGTTAAGAACTTTGCTTGAGGATGAGAACAGAAATTGTGCTCCGGCGGCGCGGCAGCAGCGGGAGGCCCCATTAGCTAAAGTGGTGCTTCAGGTTAAGAACAGTTTCAGGTTAAGAACGGACCTCCGGAACGAATTAAGTACTTAACTCAAGGTACCACTGTAGTCCAAAATATTCTGTATTCTGCTCTGGTCAGACCTCACCTGGAGTACTGTGTCCAGTTCTGGGCACCACAGTTCAAGAAGGACACTGACCAACTGGAACGTGTCCAGAGGAGGGCAACCAAAATGGTCAAAGGCCTGGAAATGATGCCTTATGAGGAGCGGCTAAGGGAGCTGGGCATGTTTAGCCTGGAGAAGAGGAGGTTAAGGGGTGATATGATAGCCATGTTCAACTATATAAAAGGATGTCATAGAGAGGAGGGAGAAAGGTTGTTTTCTGCTGCTCCAGAGAAGCGGACACGGAGCAATGGATCCAAACTACAAGAAAGAAGATTCCACCTAAACATTAGGAAGAACTTCCTGACAGTAAGAGCTGTTCGACAGTGGAATTTGCTGCCAAGGAGTGTGGTGGAGTCTCCTTCTTTGGAGGTCTTTAAGCAGAGGCTTGACAATCATATGTCAGGAGTGCTCTGATGGTGTTTCCTGCTTGGCAGGGGGTTGGACTCGATGGCCCTTGTGGTCTCTTCCAACTCTTCTATGATTCTATGTGGAAGGCATGGGCGTAGCCAAGGGGGGCAGGGGGGTAGCTGCCCCTCCTAAATCAATACAAATCAATACAAATCTGAGGTTCTACTCCCCCTCTAACAAAAATCCTGGCTATGCCCATGGTGGAGGATGAGAAATTATGGAAGGCTGGCCTAGAGGCTAGGGATGGAGACAAGCGAGTTGATCGGCAGGTCCAGTTCCCTGCATGTGGGGATCTGCCTTGTGTTGAAATGGCGCCTGTTGCGTGTGTGAGAAGACGAAGCGTACTTGCACACTGGGGTGCAAGTGGGAACCCTTTTCATCAGGATGAAGTTCTCCCTCTTTCACACACGCACACAAGAGTGCCTTTTTTCAGCTTCCACCAACAAGAGAGGGATGGAGCGTGAGTTACCTTTGCTTTTAGCCGTGTCCATTCCCGTCGCTCGACCCTGCGAGAGACACAAAGAGAGGGCGGAGGCTTAGGGCAGTGACACAAACAGCTTCCCTCTGATCCCACCCCCAATTGCTAAGACCCCTTCACACATACCGCCTTTTGCTGGGGATGAAGCCAATCTCATCGCTGTCGCCATCCGGATGGACGCGCCGCGCCTGCCACCACTCCTCGTCGGAAGCGTCAATCACGTGCAGGACGTCGCCAAAATGGAAGCTCAGCGCTTGGCTCAGGAAACCGCAGTCCTTGGTCTTATCATAGTCAAAGAGCGCCCTGGGAGTTGGGAGGGAGAGGAGGTTGGCCAGGGGGTGAACACGGGAGCAGTGGGAGCTGGTGCCCATTGGAAATGGTGGGGCAGAAGGCAGGGAGACCCAACAGCAGGGGCAGCTAGAGCCTTCTGGGCTGGGGCCACTTTTACACCATGCATTTAATGCAGTCTGAAGCTACTTTAAACAGTCATGGCAGACCCTGACAAATTATGAGCGCTTTGGTTCTTTGAGGCTGGTGAGAATTGTTAGGAGATCCCCCACCTATCCCCCTCTTCAGATTCAGAGTGGTTTAACAGTCAATCTCTCTTCATGGGGAACTCTGTGAATTGCTGCTATTGGAGGAGAATGGGGGTCTCCTTACATCCCTCAGCACCTTTAACAAACCGCACTTCCCAGGATGCTTTGAGGCAAACCATGAGGGTTTAAAGAGGTATTGTATTGTTTTAAGTGTCCAAAATCAGAACATAGCTGACTTCCTGGATAAGGTTGTCTGGGGTGGTTGTTGTCTCTCTAATTCTGCATTATGCCACGTTCTCAATGGCAGCCATTTTGTGCTATGTCATACCCCCTGGAAGCCACTTTGTGATTGGCACCCCCAGCACTCTCCCAAAATTCAAAATGTGCCCACTAGTCCAAACGGGTGGGCAACAGCTGATCCAGAGGGAACACGGTATGTAAATTCTGAAAGGGAACATTTTTTGCATTGACAGAATTGCTTGGATGGCCTGGGGATATTTGCAGTACTTACTTTAGGGAGAGCTAATCTGTGGTCACTCAGAAGTTGTTGGAAGACTCTAACTCCCATCAGCACAGACCAGGGTCAGGAAAGATGGGAGCTGTAGTCCAGCAACATCAGCAGGGCTATACTATTTTCCAACACTGGACGTAAAGAGACACTAAGTCTGGTTATGGGTTTCAGACTCAGAAACAACATCAACGGGATGGTTTTAGTTAAAATGCCTCTCTGTTTCAAAGGAAAGAGGTTATCATAATTAATAATTGCTTATATGGAACTTGGGAGGGACGCGGGTGGCGCTGTGGGTAAAACCTCAGCGCCTAGGACTTGCCGATCGCATGGTTGGCGGTTCGAATCCCCGCGGCGGGGTGTGCTCCCGTTGTTCGGTCCCAGCGCCTGCCAACCTAGCAGTTCAAAAGCACCCCCGGGTGCAAGTAGATAAATAGGGACCGCTTACTAGCGGGAAGGTAAACGGCGTTTCCGTGTGCGGCTCTGGCTCGCCAGAGCAGCGATGTCACGCTGGCCACATGACCCGGAAGTGTCTGCGGACAGCGCTGGCTCCCGGCATTTAGAGTGAGATGAGCACACAACCCTAGAGTCTGTCAAGACTGGCCCGTACGGGCAGGGGTACCTTTACCTTTACCTTATATGGAACTCTAGCTGAACAGAGCCCTTTATCATTCTTATCCAGCCGTAAAACAACCCTGACATGCTCCCATTTTACAGGTGGGAGAAAGTGAGCCCAAGGAAGAAAATGGCTTTTGAACCCAGCCCCCATAGATTAAACTCAGAGGGACCTGCAGTATTATGGATTCCGGTGGTGCTCAGATGCTAAAATCTACTAGTAATTCAGGAACAGGGGGTGGGGGATGGCCAAGCTACTGTGGAGAAGGCAGCTGTGATCTCACCGGATGTAGAAACCCCTCTTGGGGTTGCTCCGCAGCGATGCTGTCCCTGAGCCCAAACTGCTGTTCATCAGCTGCTCCCGGAGGTCGTGGATCTTGGCCTCAAAGCGGCTGTACTCTGCAGTGGGTGGTTACAGGAAGGGTCAGGGTCAGTATGACTCAACTTCCCTCACAGAATCATCTAGTTCATTCGGCTACACAGCTGCCCACATGCCCACCCAGCTCCACAACCCAGTCTTCCAAACCTTCCACCAGTCTCCACAGATCAAACCATCAATTTAAAGCACTATGATACCTCTTTAAGCAATCATTGCTTCTCCCAAAGAATTCTGGCAGCTGTGATTTGTTATGGGTGCTAAAAATGGTTAGGAGACACCCCACCCATTCCCCTCAAAGAGCTACAGTTGCCAGAGGGGTTTTACAATCTATCCCTCTTTCCAAGGAAGCCTTGTGAGGCAAAAAGAGGTCTCTCAACACCTTTTAGCACCCATAACAAACTACAGCTCCCAGAATTCTTTGGGGGGGTGAGGGAAGCCATGACAACTTAAAAGTGGCATGATACCGCTTTAAATGCACAGTGTGAATGTGGCCCCAGCCCCCCACAAACCACTGAACAGACCCCATTGCACAGTTTCCCTCTCACCTCAACCATATTGGGCTCACCTGGGCCATGCAGCCTCAATGAGCAGATGGGGGAGCAGCGGAAAGGCGTGCAGCCTTCCGCTGCTCCCCAAGCTTGTGGGGCTGGCAGTGGGGGGAAGCGCTGCCCCCCAGCCCCAAAGAGCAAAGAAGTGAAGACAGTGAGCGGGATGCATCCCGCTCTTGGCTTCTGCCATAGCCGCGCGCAACCTCTCCAGCCGGGAGAGGCTGAACTTCTCTGGCAGGGAGAGCCTGTGTGCGGCTATGGCAATACCCCCACCTCCCGCAAAAGCCCACAGGAGCCGCGCACCCTTTAAGGAGTGTGTGGCTCCTGTGGGCTTTTCTACGAGGAGGGAGAAGGGACTGACTGGCCACGGAAAAGCCCGCAAGAGCAGCGCAGAGCTTGTGTGTGGCTTTTGGGGGCTTTTCCTGCCTGCCTCCCCCCTGCATTCGCTCCATAGGACGCGCACACATTTCCCCTTCGTTTTTGGAGGGGGGAAAGTGCGTCCTATAGCGCAAAAAATACGGTACCTACAGACTGCCCCCTCCCTTGGACACATTTGGCCCTGCCCTACATGTGCCTGCAACCAACCAACCAACCCAACTTCCCACCCTTCTGTCTTTCCATTTTCCCATCAACAGGCACCAATCGTCTCTCATGTGGTTCCTTGACCAGCTTTCCTTGCAATCTCTCCATTCATTCATCCCTGAAGGTGAAAATGCTGAGGATTCTCCCCTAGGACATCCTCACCGCCCCTTACATTGCTCCTTGGATAGCAGTCACCACTGCCCCACCCAACTTGGCAGCGACAGGACCATTTCCCAGGCAGTTCACACACACACAAATCTCTTCCCGCTCAGCAGGGGCTTCTGCAGAACAGAACTCACCATCCGGTTTGTACTGAGCAATGATGGTGACCGTCTGGCCGGCGTTTTTCAGAGCAATGGCTGCTTGTTCGTGTGTGGCGTTCCTGAGGTCCACACCGTTGACCTGGGAAGGAAAAGGCAACCAAAAAGATCAAGAGGCTGGGCCAACTCTCCTGTGAGATGACAACATCTGAGGCTATTTGCCTTAGAAAAAGAGGAAAGTAAAGGAAGGAACATAATAAAGGTGCATAACATTATTCAGAGTGTGGGAAAGAAGTCCCTTCAGGCTGGTGGTGGCTTTTTGCAGGGGGGGTCCTGCAACAAGTCATGGCTGTGATAATAGAGAATTAGCAGTGGATTTATAGCAGGCTACCAACACATCATTCCACTTTATTACTGCCATCTGGAGTGCTTTAACTCTAGAGTGCTTTAACAACCACAACTCTGGGAATTGTAGTTCTGCAAGTGGTATAGGGGCCTCCTAACAACTCTCAGCACCCTTAACAAACTACAGCTCCCACAATTCTTTGGGGGAACGCTATCACTGTGGTATCATGCTGCTTTCAATGTATGGTGTGAACAAGACCAAACATGGGACAAAAAAATAAACCAGAACATTTGTGGTATAAAAATTTGCAGAATTTCAGGAGGAGGTTATGGAACATGAACTAATTAGAAAGAAAGCAGCATGTCCACACCAAAACATTTGCAGAAACGTACCATTCTGAAAGTGGGATCGAGTATAAAAATCACCCCAATACTATCATGAGCACAAATAATCATGAATGCAGAATAAAAAAGATGTCCAGAGGGCAGAGAGAAATTTTTCCCTTTTGTAATACAGGAACCCAGCAGGATCATAAAACCAAGTTGAATGTTGGAAGATTCAAGACAGACAAAAGGAAAGATGTCTCCATACGGCACAGAGTTAAAACTCTGGCTTTTGCTACCACAAGATGTAGAGATTGCTTTAAAAGACAAATTCATGGAGGAAGAAAACCCTGGGCTAGCTCAGTTGGCAGAGGATGAGACTCTTAACCTCAGGGTCGTGGGTTAGAGCCCCACAAAGGGCAAAAGATTCCTGCATTACAGGAGGCTGGACTAAATGACCCTCATGCTCCCTTCCAACTCTACAGTTCTATGACTCTATCAACAGCTACTAACCAGGGTGGCAATGAGCTGCATCTAGGATAAGAGGGAGCTGGTCTCTGAAAAACCATTTGCTTGGGGTTGTGAGAAGGGGATGGATACTGTGCTCATGGCTTGGTTATGGACTTCCATTTGGGGCACCTGGTTGTCCATTATGGAAAAGTGGACTAGATGGGCCTTTGGTCTGATCCAGCAGGGCTAATCTTAATTCTTATCAAGGGAGTTGAGCATCATTTAGGTTTAATTGTAGGGTACCAGCCGATTGCCTCTTCCAACCAGGCACCTGCCAATGCAGGGATAAGGAACGCTTCTTACCGAGAGGATCTGGTCCCCTTTCCGGAGCTCCCCACTGAGGTCGGCCGGCCCCCCAGCCAGGATGAAAGAGATGAAGATTCCCTCGCCATCTTCACCCCCAACAATGTTGAAGCCCAGCCCTGTTGAGCCACGGTGAATGACAATGCGGCGCGGTTCCCTGCAGAAGGAAGGAGAGAAACAGGGGGAAGCTGGAAGCAGCTTGCTGACTGCGGATGCAGCGGCAGGCAGCAACGAGCCACCAACTCCAAATGCCCGACAGGACTGTGACCTACACAAAACCCCCACAGGAAAGAGGAAGTTTGGGGCTGGCTGCATTACTACCCTGTGCCAAAATATTCGCAACTCTGGCAGCCCTGAGTAGCCGGATATGGGATGGATGAGATGCACGCGAGGTGATGGGGGAAGATGGGTGCAGCTTTGAACTGGGCAACAGAGAGAAACTCTTCAGGACCACGGACAGCAACTGCTGCTTGGTGGTGCTATGGGGAAACAGAACAGCCACGCCCAGAGGGAGGAGCCAGAAAGGGCACAGCTTACCTGGGTATATCCTCCTCACCCATCAGCTCCTTAGGGATGGGGGAGTACCTCCGAGGGGAGGTGGGGGTCATGGCTTGTGGATAGTCTGTGCCCAGGTAGCTCTGGTGACCAATTTCATTGTCGAGATGCTGGGAATAGGCTGTCAGAATGCATGAAAAAAGGAAAAGATAAAAGCTTTAACAGCACAGTGGAAGGCAGTGAAACCAAAGTTATGAACGCAACATTGAGAAATGCTCTTAAATCAAGCTGGACAACGACAGATCGTTGTTGTCCCACATGGTACGTTAAACACTTTGCTAACTTTCTAAATCACCCAAAATCCAGCAGTATTTATTACTGCAAATGTGGCAATAAAAAAACGAAATGTGTGGAACACAAAAATTACAGTTTTTCAAGCATCTTCGGTTTAGGATAATCTTCCACCATCAAATCCAGTTGTGTCCCAGACAGTGCCTGAACTGACACTCCCTTTTAACTGGTTCTCCACAAGACAGCTGAACACAGACACAGTGGGGAGAACAGGAAACCACTCACAGGAAGTGATGTCAGGCGGGGCGTAAGAATCATTCAGGTAAACATTTGTGGGTTTGGCCACCTTCAAGTACACGACATCATATGTGTTCTTCAGGGCTGCAACGGCATCTTCGTGCATAACATCTTCAAGGCTCACATTGTTTACCTGGCAAGGTGTGGGCATGGGAAAGCATATATAACAATAATCCCTGCTTATAGAAAAGTAGCATTTCAAGGAGAAGGGTGGGCTTTCAGTCCTCTGAGTCCTATTTGCAGGCTGGAGTGGTGCTCAGTGATCTGGGGAACTTCTCTGCTTCCAAACCTGCACAAAGTCTGGCTGATCACATGCCTTGCGTCTGCTCCAGCCTTTGCCAAACTGGTGCCCTCCAGATGTTTTGGACTACAACTCCCATCAGCCCCAGACTGGGAGCTGTAGTCCAGAACATCTGGAAGGGACCAGATTAGCAAAGGCTGCTTTATTCACTGCACCTCTCCTCTCCCAAAAATCAACCTACCCACCCAACACCCAGTCTCTAGTTACTAGTGTGGGGTATTGTGCAGAGATTTAGGCCAAGGAAAAATAACACCTCATGACTCCAATGGGATAAGGGCAGAGCAGCCGTCTTTACTTAGGTTGCTAAAAATAAATAAAAATAGACACTACAAGAAGATAATTAAGTATTTCTGTGAGATGTGGAATTTGGGCAGTCAAACATTCACAGGGCCAAAGAAACTCAAGACACAGGACAGCTAGGAATGAGCCACAAAATGGCCATCCAGCTTACCAGGTTTTGGTCTTCAATGAATTCTGTGGGTTTCCAAGGCTAACAAATCAAATTACCCAGATTTGTGCAGAAAGGTAGTTCGTTTTGCATTGTGTACCATTTTCAACAGTCTAATATTTTAGGCCCCTTTTGACAAGCCCCAAGGCTGCACCCCACTTAAATACTTAAAACCAATGACCATCTCTGTTGTGTTTTTCACTTTTGGGGGGTTGGAGACCCCCCTCCCTCCCCTACTTTTCTGTTTACCCTCAGAAAAAAACCAGGGAACCACTCAGTCCATTTATATTATTTTTGCCATTTATTCCATTTAAATCCCACCTTCCTCCAAGTAGCTCATGGTAGTACATGGTTCTCCCCTCTTTCCATTTTATCTGTACGACAACCCTGTGCGGTAGATTAGGCTGAGAGGAGACTGTGACTGGCCCAAGGTCACCCAGCAAGCTTTATGACTGAGTGGGGATTTGAATGCTGGTCTCTGAGATTTCCCTCCCCTTCTTCCCTTCCCCGAAGTCTGGGTATGGACCAGACCAAGAGGCCCAACTGCTCTCTGGCATCAGGCCTTCTCCACCTATCCTTACCGCCAGGATCTTGTCCCCAATCTGCAGGCGCCCATCCTTGTGGGCTGCACCCCCCTCTATGATTTTGGTGACGTAGATACTATTGTCGCCGGGGATGTGCTGGTTGCCAACGCCACCTGCAATGCTGAAGCCGAGACCTGTGGGGAAGGAAGGAAGGTGGGAAGAGAAAGAATAAAAGAAGAAGAAAATCAACAGGTAAGGAAGAAAGTAGCATCAGCAGAGGCGGAGACTTTTGAAGAGGGTGGGGTTTACTCCCCCATGGGAGGAGCCTTTTTAGAAAGATGATAATTCTCCATAGTGCGAGGGGACAGAGTCATTGAGACAAGGTGGAATTCTCCATAGTAGATTGTTTCCAGTTTTCCTAGAGCAGCCTCCTCCAGCTGAATGGGAGTTGTAGTACAAAATATCTGGAGGGCACCAGGCTGCATGGAATGGGGGAAGCTAGATCAGTATATGTCCATTCACGTGCGGCAATTCATCCCCAAGAGGGGGATGAAGTGGGAGAATTTATTCCCCCGCCAGGCTTGAGTTCCTTGCAGATATGCAAACAATGTCCATGCATTTTGCAACCGCATACATCCAATTTTGGATGCAATTCCATTTTGAAGTTGGAGGCTTTGAATACTTGAAAAGCAGAGCTTGCAGTTCGGCTGAGCATGGATTTTATTTGCATTATGCTCCTGTGGTTTACTAAGCTCTTTTTGCCTTTCGCACAGTCAGGAAAAATAAGGAGTGCTTGTTTTTAAACAAACTTTTAAAAGTCCACGGAGAAAATGGGAAGTGAAACTGGAATTAAGTTATTTAGGGTTGTATCCAATGCTAGCCCTACTCAGAGCAGACCCACTGAAATTAGTGAGCATGACTACACTAGTTTCATTAATCTCAATGGGTCTACTATAAGTAGGACTTCAATTGGATACAACTGAATATTGGTCTCTGTTTCCACAGGAAATAGGGTGTGTGTGTGTGTGTGTGTGTGTGTGTGTGTGTGTGTGTGTGTGTGTCTGGCCCCACCTACTACTGCTTTCAACCAGGATAAAGTGCTGCTTAGCCCACAAAAGTGGTATAGAAATTTGATAAATAAATAAATGAACTAACCTGGACCCTGTAATCACCCTCTGAGGCCATTCTTAGTGTGTTTCCTCCATGAGAGGTCTGGAGGGCGGCAACACAAGAACGGACCTTTTCTGTAGTGGCTCCCCGTTTGTGGGATGATCTCCCCAGAGAGGCTCACCTGGCACCTTCATTACATATCTTTATGTAATGTTCCTCTTCTCCCAGACCTTTGGCTAATTAAACAATCTATGGCCTTTAAAACTGCAGCGGGCGGCTTATTGTTTTTGTTTGTTACTAAGTTATGCATAGGGATGCGGGTGGCGCTGTGGGTAAAACGTCAGTGCCTAGGACTTGCCGATCACATGGTCGGCGGTTCAAATCCCCGCGGCGGGGTGAGCTCCCGTCTTTCGGTCCCAGCTCCTGCCCACCTAGCAGTTCGAAAGCACCCTTAAGTGCAAGTAGATAAATAGGTACCACTTTATAGCGGGAAGGTAAACGGCGTTGCTGGCTCGCCAGAGCAGCTTCGTCACGCTGGCCACGTGACCCGGAAGTGTCTCCGGACAGCGCTGGCCCCCGGCCTCTTAAGCGAGATGGGCGCGCAACCCCAGAGTCTGTCACGACTGGCCCGTACGGGCAGGGGTACCTTTACCTTTACTTAAGTTATGCATTTTTTGTGTTTTTATATTGTAAACTGCCCTGTGATCCTCAGATGAAAGGTGGTATAGAAATTTAAATTAATAAAGAAAATAATGATGATGATGATGATAGGTTGCCCATCCTTGATTCAGGATTCTGGTTCTTCCCCTGAAATAAGGAGGATGCTTCTAAGGGGGAAAGCCTCTACAAAACAGCTTTCCGTAATCCCTTCTCATGCAACCTGAAGGGTTGGGTGCTCTTTAAGGAGTTGTCGGGGGGGGGGCAGAGCTAGGCTCCCTCACCTTTGGGGCCTTTGATCAGCTTGATCTCCATGACCTTCTCGGCCAGGGGCTTCCTGCGCATGACATACAGACGCACAATGGAGCCGGCCTCCTTCAGGGCCTCAACAGCCGTGCTGTGCGTTACCTCCCGCACGTCCACATCATTGACGAAGAGGATGCTGTCGTTCACCCTGTGTCACAGCCGGATCAGAAAGACACGTTTAGCGCCAGGATACTGGGAGCTACTGAAACTTGTGGGGGCACTGCCCCAGGGTAAAAGGTTCTGGACAAATGTCTTATGAGATCTCATTGATAACCAGACAAACGATTCACCCACCCCCTCTCTTGGAACTGGCTCGTTGAGCCTCATCCCCTTTTCTTTTTTGAAAAGTGAGATGGCAAGGATTGAACCTCAGAACCTTCTACACGGCAAAGAAACTGTTCCAACAGAAGCTCCTGCAGGCACGTAAGGATCTGAATAAACCTTTGTACAGTGGTGCCCCGCAAGACGAATGCCTCGCAAGACGGAAAACCCGCTAGACGAAAGGGTTTTCCGTTTTTGAGTTGCTTCGCAAGACGATTTTCCCTATGGGCTTGCTTTGCAAGACGAAACGTCTTGCTAGTCTTGCGATTTTTTCCCCGCTTTCCCCCCCTTTTTCTAAGCCGCTAAGCCGCTAATAGCCTTTTAGCAGCTAAGCCGCTAAGCCTTTAATAGCCGCTAAGCCGCTAAACTGCTAATAGCGCTAATCCGCTAAGCCGCTAATAGGGTTGCTTCGCAAGACGAAAAAACCGCTAGACGAAGAGAATCACGGAATGGATTCTTTTCGTCTTGCGAGGCACCACTGTATTGACTGGGCCAATGAAGGAACATAGGATGCTACCCTGTACTGAGTCAGATCAGTGGCCCACCTAGATTAATATTCCCCATGCAGACATGCAACAGTGGCTCTCCAAAATTTCTGGCAGAAGTCTTTCCCAGCCCTACCAGGAGATGCCATTGGTTACTGAACCTGGGTCCTTCTGCATGCAAAGCAGGTGCTCTATCCCTGAGCTATGTCCCTTTCTTCAAAACACAGGAATATAGAAAACCGCCTTATATTGAACCAGACAACTGGTCCATCTAATTCAGTATTGTTCACACTGACAGAGCTGCTCGCCAGGATTTCAGGCTGGGTTCTCTCCCAGCTCCCCTTGGAGATGCCATTTATGCTGTGAACCATCCTGAGATCTACAGATAAAGGGTCGTATACCAATTTAATTACTTATTTATAATACCAGGGGATTGAAACTGGGACCTTTTGCAGATGTTCTATGACCTCTGAGCCCTTTCCCAAACTCCCATAGGACCAGCTTATGGAGCATTCATCCTGATTTGCTTTTGCAGGGAGTTTATAGACAATGTGGGCTATTTAGTGAGCATTCATTTTCATTTGCATCAGAGCAAGCGTTATCCCACAATCTCCAATGCATCTCTCCTTCACTTTCCTGATCGCAGTAAGTCCGCTCTTTGGGGGAAAGCAAGTCTGTTGCACAAGAGGACAAGCCCACTTTCACTGTGCAGCCTGAAATTGCTGAGATGAATCCCTCGTGGGACTAACGGCCATCTGGAAGTGCCTTAGAAAAAGACTCACTGTCTCCAGCCCAGTCAGCATCCTCCCTGCAAAAAAAGCTTCCCCCAAAGCCATTGGTACCTTAGCCTGCCATCTTGTGCTGCTGCCCCACCAGGGATGATCTTAGTGATGAAGATGCTGGGGTCATCGCCAACATGGGGGTTGTCAGTACCACCGGCGATGCTGAATCCCAAACCGGAGTTACCCTGGAGGAAAAAGTCATGCCCCACCCAAAGGAAGAGGCCAGAATTTAATTAGAGCATGAACAAAGGCTTGGGACCCCCCTTTTTAAAAAATGCATACTCTTCCCACTCTGGAGGGACTTCCAAATAACCTGTTTATTGTTCATTCATCCTGATTAAGGCTGCAATCACATAGGCTATTCAATTTCCCTGATGTTTCTCTATGTGTTAATTCCTGCATTATATTTGAGGTTCTACATAACGTAAGAGTCATTTCTAGAAAACCGATAGAATATAATTCCACATTTAACGCTCATTTCCATGTTATCTGATTCCAGGAATAAAAACACAGTTTGCAGCCTACTTAACCCAGAAAGTGGCAGGAGTAAAGTAGTGAAATTTGGGGTGGCATATGGTAGGTACACTGGCATATGGTTCTTTCCTGCTGTTTTCATGGGGTAATCATGGAGAGGAGAGAAGCAGACATGTGCGGAAAGTGTGGGGGAGCAGCGATGTTGCCTAATGACGTTCCTTGGTGTGAATGAAATTTAACGCGGCATGTCGGTACATTGGTCAAAAAGCCACAGTCCATAACACAACAGGTACTGCAGCATAAAATGGAACATTAGAAAACGGGACAGAAGCACTAGCATTGTAATCAGGAAAACTAACACAATATTCCCCACATTTGAATGCACCTTAGATGATGCTGGTTATTTAACGAGCATTCACTCCAATTTCTTTGAGGGGAGGTTAGATGACGCTGCATAAAAGCAAGCATCACCCACACTTTCCGGTTCTTTTCCCCATCACTTTCATTAATTGCAAAAAAAGTCTGATCTTTCGTGGGGGGGGAGCAGGTTTGTTGCACAAGACCTCCCAATCAACTGTAACTGTGGATTTGTCATTAAGTGATCAAATCCTTCCTGGAAAAAGTGACTGTCTAGGTTCCCTGGGCTAAGTAAAAAATCCCCACCCTCCCAGAATCAACGATGTCTATAAGAATTACCCGCTCTAGAGTTATTTCTTCGTATTCCATTTCTCCTTCCGTTCCATTTACCTGAAAGAGAGGGGACAGAGAGGAATTGTGTTAATACAGCATTGGGAAAAAAATGCAAAGGAAAATGGGGGGGGGGGATTTTGGAATATGTTAAAGTGTGAAAGGTTGTGGGGAGGGGGGAAGAAAAGGAAGAATTCATCCAGTAACTCACATAAGCTGGTGCTTCTAAGGTATCTGTGTTGACAATTACCGGTGGGGAGTTGGCCTAGGAAGACAAACAGACAGAAAAGAATGATATGGACAACTGTCCCCAAAGCAATATGGTCCCTAAATGTGGCTGTGGGGCTGTTTCACACAGGTAGGAGAGGCCATAGGTAGCAAATTGAGGGTGGAGGCCGAAGCTCCCCAAACCCTGAAACTGCCTTTTGCTTGGCTTGCAGACAGGAGAAGCCCTTGGTGAGACTTTGAAACCACACCCCAAACATGGCTGTTATCTCCGAAGGTTTTAAGCTGAAAGATGAACCTTCTTCCCCTGCCCCTAAATTTGTGCTCTTTCTTCCACACCACTGTGGTTTGGCAAAACTCCTGGGTCATTTCAGTGCGGCTTAGGGAAGGAGAATGAGTTTTGCTGGCAGACATGAAGAACTTGCATGACTGTTCTCAGCTAGAATAGCTTGCTGTGAATTTTTAAAAATCCCTTTAAACTCCTTCCACCCTGCTAGCATATGAAAACCCCAAATAAGCCAAGCAGCACCCAAACATTTTCTGTATGGATAACCAAATCCATATTACAGACTGAAAAATAGAGTTCCACCAACACCACACACACAAACACACTTTTCACCCTCCCTGTCTCATGTCCATATATTTTAATGCATAGATAACAGCAGAAAATGTATGGGCTACAATTGTGCATTTAAGGACAGCTAGCAGGACGAGCTGGGGTGAAACCGAGGTCACCAGATATCTGGTGAAAAGAGATCCAAAATCCACAAATCACCATTTCAAATTGTGGCATTAGGGAGCAGTGTGCTTCTAGGAGGAGACTGGCTTACCTCCTGGCTCTGAAAAGGGTATTTTTGACCCCCCAAACCAGGAGTGTTAAAATGCCCAAGAAGCACCCAACCTCTCTCTCCCACCCCCATCCTCTTTCATTCTCTTTTCCTCTCTCCCCACCACCCAAAGAATGATTCCTCCACCTCCACTGTCCGCTGCTGACTACGGTAACCACGGCAATGCCATGGAAACAGCATCTGCCTCAGGGGGAGAAGGTTACTGTGGCAACGCGGGTTTCGCCATAGTTCAGGATGTTCTGGAGTGGGACTAGCACCCACCCCAATCAACCCCACACCCCATTCCTAGTGGTGGGAATGTGGGGTGGGTGTTTATTCATAGGGGATATTTGAAGTAATGTGTTTCCTTGCGCTTTACGCATCAGAACAACTCCACTTGAGGCTGCATAGCACAATCGCTTGCATTAAAAAAATCAAGAAATATATTTAAGATTGGCAGGGGTGGAGAAACCAATTTTGGGGGTGAGCATGGGGTTTATGGTTATTATGATCTACATTTACAGAGAGGAAATAGCTAAGGCTTTTAATAATAGCATCCAATTTTTATATATAGATTTCATCACCAGCTCTAGGCCAGGGGTTGTAGATGGGCTGTCCTCCAATTTGATTGCCAGGGGTGTGTTTGTGTGTGGAGGGAGAAAATCCCAGGGCAAAAGTTTCATTGCACAGCTGATCAGGGGCACGTCTGAGATTCAAGAAAGGTGCAACTAGAGTCTTCACGACGATTTCGTTTCTGAAATTTGTGGAGATCAGGATGGGTGTGGTAGTGTCTGCGCTGAGGACCAGCTGAAGATTTAAGAAGAGCAGAGAAGCCCTCGTGATCCCCTCACAGTCGCCAAAAGGCACCCAGCATCTGATCCTAGGGACACTATACATTGCCACCATGACTGACAGCCACTGATAGCAAGAATTCCCTGTGAAACCCTTAGCAAGGCCTTATGAAGCTGCAGTATGCACAAGGCAAAGACGTGACTAAGATTGATTTCTTTACTCATCGTGAGAGCTAGAAACTTCTTTGAATGTAAAAACCACACCCACAGAACTCTGAGACCCTGAACATGTAAAAGAGGCTGCTTGTGTATCTGGGTATTGCATCTGGACAGATATCTAAATTTTTTAACATGGTTGGTGTTGGTTTGCTTTTTAGGGTGCCCTAAATGCTGACCCCCCTCAAAACAAATGGGGCCAGGACTGCAATACCGCAAGGACCACCCCTCCTTGTGATGATCACCTGAGGCCCTACTTTGGGTGCCTCCCCCACAAGAGGAGTCACAAGGGTGGAAGCAAAGGAACTGGCCTTTTATGGGGTGGCTCCCCGTTTGTGGAATGCTCTCCCCAAGAAGGCTCGCCTGGTGCCTTCATTACATATCTTTAGGCACCAAGCGAAAACGTTTTTCTCCAGCCAGAGAGATGTTTGGCTGATTAACATTCTATGGCCTTCCAAATGTGCCTGTGGGAGGGGGGGGTTATTGGTTTGTTTTATTTTGCATTTTGATGTTGTGAACCACCCTCTGATCTTCAGATGAAGGGTGGTAAACAAATAATAATAATAATTAATAATAATAATAATATGCCCCGTGACTAGTTGCAAATGGGAGAAAGGATCAAGGCTGTTCCACTGCAGCAATTGTTTATTTTTATTCCATTCCTCCTTATGTGTCCCAGCTGCTCCAAAAAGCCTGAAATATTCAACTCGGGGGGGGGGGGAGATGAGCAGTTGAGGGAAAGAGGGTGGGCGAAGTCCCGGGGGCTAGGGATGGCAAAGCCACTCACCTGTCCTAGGTTGAAGCCCTCCTCTTCTAAGGCCTGGCTCCCTAAACTGAAGCTTCTCAGTCTAAAAAGATGACAGGCTCTCTCCTCTCTCCATCCGTCAAACAACGCTTGCCCTTTTGCTGGCTCAGGTCCTCTCCCCCCCCCCCACCGCTGACTGCCAGTTCTCTTCCTCCACGCTTGACTGCAATCGGGTTTCCCTGGCACATTTTAATCTCAGGCTCTTCAAATTTTCATGACCCCCAATGCTCAGCCAGCAAGGGATCCTGGGAAACGGGCATGCTTAACTCAGAGGCGCATGCTCGCACGTGTACACACCACACACACACCACTCACTCACACACATTGCTCTCTCACCCTAAGCCTCCACTTCTCACAAATTTCCTAGGGAGACCCTCCATTCATCCTCCAGCCAAGCAATAAGGGCATCTGCAGGAATGTTTCTGGTGGGTGGGAGGGACAGGAAGTATATACCAGTTATATATAACTAGCGCCAGAGAACAGGTCTATAGTTTCTTGTATACATACTGATCATGGGGGAAGCCAAAGCCTGAACCCCAGAAGGATACACAAAGTTGGTTTACACCTTGGTCCTTTCCACCAGCAGCTGAGGAAAAACAACACCCCTACGTTTTTTTCCTCTGGGTCCCTTCACTCCCTCCAGCCCTTAATTAATTGCATTGCTGCTACAAATCAACAATTAATCACACTGCTGGTACAATCAACTTCACAGCATGCCCTCCCTGGAAAAAAAAAAAACTTTTAAAACCCAGTCTGTCAGGATACGGATGCCAGACTACACTGCAAGGTTATTGTACATTACTCCAAGTCTGTCCTTGTTGTTGTTGTCCCCACCCAGCAAAATGGGTGCAACATACCGGCTGACTGTGTCAGACTCACGTACCATTCAGCCCTGCCCTCTGCAATAATGGTGTAATAACGATGGATAGTTTTTACATGCTTTCAAACCTGGGGGTGGGGTTGCCATATGGGTGGGGGGTGTTATGAAGTAAGACCTGGAGCCAACTCCTGTCCTTGTGGCTATCTTTCTATCATTTTTGTGAAGACTGCAGTTGAATTAATTCTTGGATTTCTGAATGGTTTTAAATGAAACAGAAATCTCCTCTCCACCAGAGGGAAGAAGGTAGGGGGAGAGCTTGGGAAATGAACCATGAAGCTGATGGGGTGCATCACTTCTAACCTTCTTTTTGACTAATGGGCTAGCTCTGGCTTTCCCAAATGTCAGTCACTGCTATGACTTGCATTGCTGGTTAAGCACTATAAGGTGGGGGGGTGGGCCAGTTTCTCACAATGCAATTGGGCAGAATGGCACTTTGACATTTTGCAAAGACCTAGAGGTTGAAAGGGCCAGGGGGAAAGACATTTAGCAGGGCAGGGGAATCATTAGGAACTATGAACCTCAGAAATAATGGTCCTGGGCATGTACAGAGCGCAGTTCCCTTACCAGTGAGGAATCTCTTCACTGAATAAGAGGATTCCACAGCACAACAGCATTCTGTGGCAAGGCTTCTTTTTATTGCTTATTGCTAAAATATTCACTTGATTTACTTCCTTGTTATGATTCCTAGTAATGGTGACTGGTGATTTCTAAATACTGATTATTTCTTTACTTTATGTCATTTACATTCCTGCAAATTTGGGTTGGGGTCAGTGGCAATTTTATAAGATTATCAACAAACGCAGATGTTTGAGAAACCCTGACCTAAACCAAGAGACTCCTGGCTGCTGGTTCAGTTGCATCCTGAACTGCTTACACTCCATTCCTTGCCCAGGGAATCCAGGATCCAGGCCCCATCACCCTTTCCCCATTTGACTACTTTTTGCAGAACAGAAGCTTCTGTCAAAGAAGAGAAAATATAGATTTTTTAAAAATTTAAAAGGAAGAGGCAATTCTTTTTAAAATGATTTGGTCCAAGTGGAGAGTGAAGCTTAGTGAGTTGATGAGGAAAGAATAGGTGGTCTCTGAGAGCAGATCCCCTGGGTTTTCTCCCTACCTTGAGGAGGGGTGGAACCAGGTGGGGGAATTTGAAGCCAGTTGAAATAATTAGGGTGTTGCAGGCTAGATGTAAGGAATTCCGGGGCCCTGGGCTCCTGGGACCCTCTGGGAAGGAAAGTGGCTGCGTCTAGCAGGTGAGGGCAGAGAGGATGCCAGGACGTCTGGGTCCCCTTGGGGCCTGTGGCATTACAGGAGGAGTGGGAGGAAAGAGGGGGGAACTTCCTGTACTGTGGGCTCTGCCAGGTTGGCAGCTGCATGTGGGTGGCTGGGTAGAGGGAACTGTGTGGGAGAAGGCTTGTGGAAGAGCTGGAAATGTTCACACACGTGTGTGTGTGTGTGTGTGTGTGTGTGTGTGGTTGGATGATCTTTGCATGTGTTTGTCTCAGAGCATTAATGGCGTACATG